GCCCTATTCGACACAATGTACGTACATTAAATGCTCCAACATGTAGTCTAGAGCGGGGTTTCAGGAGACCAGAAATTACGTTTCGTGAACTCGCATCGTTTGCATTAGCTGTGCACTGTGATAAAGGAATGTGAGAAGAGTTAGTCGTTGAGATAAGAGACGTATTAGGAGGTGTAGGAAGGCCCAACGGGCAACTGCTTGAGGCCGGTCACGCACGTTCTTTTTATGAGAGGGTTTTTGTGTGTTAGCTCCGCTCTTGAAAGCCCTTGGTGGGCACCCTTACCCAAGGAGACGGAAATCCGTGAGTTAGGGGAGGTGTGACATTTTTAGGGTCGACCTTTTCTAACCCTTCCTTCCTTGTGAGAAGGCAGCATCGCTGCAGATGCTGGTTGTCCGAAGGAAACACCTTACTGCTGTTACACCTCTCTGCAGTCAGAAGTACGACTTTGACCTCAGACCTTGAGTAGCCGCTTTTAGTCTCATCGTTCTCCAATCGACCTGCCTGGCATGGTAGAACCTTCAGGAACATATGTTCCAACCAGTATAACTCGGCTGGGTCATCACGATAGTCAATCCCGACCACCACGTCAAGGTAGCAGCTTCGGTCGTGCTACTAGAAACCACAACATTCTCGATTTGGTATTTTGTCACGATGTCACCTCAACATCTGTGGCTGTCTGCGAAAAGTTTCACAACAGTGACCATAAAATTGTCCTCTGTACCCTTCCGTTTTTTGCTAAATGCGACAAATCTAAACCGTTTTCATAACAACACCGGTAAAACCTACCTCTATGCGGATGACCTATACGTGATTGATCAAACTAGCAAGTCTGACTTAGGAAATTTGTTGCACACAATCCAGCATAAACTTAATACTGTAGATGTCTGGTGTAAGTAACGGAACCTTGAACTTAATACTGAGAAGTGTGGCTGCATGTGTTTCGGAGACACGTTTCCCAAATTAGATCTCACTCTCAACAGGAATGTATTACCTGAACTCACATCCGTAACTGATCTTCGAGTGCATTATTCGCACAGCCTTAACTTCTCCGAACATATCTCCAATAAAGTTTCTCGAATGAGAAGAATGCTTAGTTTCGTCTTTTGTAACTTCCTTCATAGAGAATACAGAACAATTCTCTACAAAACATGCGTAAGACCTATTGCTGAATACTGCTCTTTCCTATTTTCTAACTTACGCCTGTCTGATATGTTGAAACTTGAAGGAATACAAACGAACTTTACTCGGAAAGTCCTAAATCATCGCTCACTCATTGACTATCCAACCCGAGGTAATGAAATCGGGCATGATCCATTATGGAAAAGAAGGCTTAAGTCCAATCTGATCCTTTACTTTAAACTCCTGCACAAACTCACATACTCCTCCTGTAGTTTAGTTCTTATCCACGGCCCATGTACACATAACCTTCGAGATAAATTATCTACGGTCAAACATGAGAAATATAGATCCAATACTCGAGGAAACTTCTTCCTCTCTAAGTATGCAGTTATATGGAATAGACTTTCCTCGAAAATACGCATAGCAAGTGGGTAATATGAGTTTTTCCTACTTCTTAATGATGCTCTCAGTTGCACTGACTGTTCAGTACTCGTGAATTCACTCGCACCCTGCTTTTATATTCATAGCTCTGCATACACTTTTAACACAATGAACTCAGTGCTAGTTCCTTCTTATTTAGTTATTTAGCCCTCCTAAGTAGCATTAAAATTTTTCGAGTTCAATATAAATCTCTCTAGTTTTTATTTGAAATAGACAGGTAACTCTACTCACTGGGTCGATCAACACTGATCAACTGTAAACTGGTTGATCAGAACGCACTCTACTTTCCTGGGCGCAACCTTATCAACACTCACAACTGTGTGAGTTTTACGTTGCCTATTATCAGTTATGCTGTTCTCACTTACAGACTATTGACTTACCTTGATCCTTTAGTGTTATCTATTGCTCAACTTTTAACCGTGCTACCTTTGAAATCTCCTGCTTAGCTACTTAAGTACATCTCACACAATACATTCTAAATGAAAATCCGTACTATTTCTCCATAACTGTTAACTGTATGGCATCGATGCCTAATCAATAGTTCATCAGTTGTAACAGCAGGACAAGTTTGTGAAAGGAACTTGCAGAAAGTGTTTCTCAACAGCATGTGAGACACAGAGCACCAAATAAAACACAAAATAGTTTCTTTTATTCATCTAACATGAGCCTAACAACACAAAAGGGGGTAGGGTGAAGTTATTGACCAGTAAACATTGTTGTGGTCAATGAATTCAAACCACCCATGTTTGTGAGTCAAAATATTCTGTTTGCTTTCGGCTTATTAGATTGATGAGGCAACTAATCCGTAATACTGAGGTGATCTTATACGCTTGCTACTTCTGAAGTTCATGTTTCCAAAACTTTGCTGATGTCATTGTTCTGTCGAGGCACCAGCAATATTCTTACTCATGTGCTTACAGTATGACTTAGAGGTTGGCATACAGTAATAATATAAAGAAACAGTTAGACAGTGATAACTTATATTCATCAGTGTTTTTTTTCTACAAACTCCACTATTTCAACTTAAATTTCGATTTAAACGTACATAAATCAAGCTTTTTGCTTCAACTTCTCTTCTGTCCACCTGTCACTGCACAACTCTCCCTTCTTTTTGCTGTACTTCTTTATCTGTGTGTTATATTCTTATATTCCCATAATTTACTTTAATTTAAGTGGTCAGTATGAATTTTATCTTGACTTACTACTGTTTTGACTACCTCAACATGATAGGTTAAGTAGTGCTTTGGTTATACATACACTTTCCACGCTGCTGCCTTTTTCCCCTCTCTCTCTCTTTCCTCCCTATTCAGAACCCCATTCACGGTGGGAAATCCTTGACGACTCTATGTAACATGCATCTAAGTACATGACTGTCTGGATCACAGCTCGTATCAAGCGCGTTCCACTTGACCTTTCCCAACAAATTCACAATTGGTCTCGGCAAACCGCCAGAAGAACCTATTGTGCACCTTCCTTATTTGTAATCTACTATTGAAAATGTGGCTGTATTATACTGTTTCTGTCAGTGACATGGTGTAAATGTGCCATCAGAAACTGACTCTTATACTTATTTAACTGCTATAACTTTCACAGTAAATGTGAAAGCATTTGTGACTATTTGATCTATACTGTAACCTGGCGTGCCTCGCCCAATTCAGCTGTACGCCATGTTTCATAAGGTTTTTGCTTAAGTTTGTCTGTAGGGAGAATGAGGTTTTTTCAGAACCTACTGAGGCCAATAAGAGCTGAGTATCACATGCACCTATTGCATTAGTTGCATAATGCCATTCCTCCTCTATAGTTTCGCCTAAGGCAAGTAATCCAAGACTTTGTAAGAACAATATACGAGCAGATGGATCTGAAACTTCACTGACTGTTGCGCATTCAGATGCTCAATCTTTAATATTACTAAAACCTCCATTCGCATCAGTGTTGATTCTGCAGCTTAATCCACCGCTGGTAGTACAATAGGCCACTCAGCCCAAAATCATTGCTTCATTACAAAGAGGCAGTAATCCGGATTTCAAACACGATATTGCAACAGTAGTGGGGGTATTCGAATGTATAATCCATCGAATGTCAGCACGAGCTAAATGGACTACTGAGTGTAAAGCCCAGGTCATTTGATTTACGCCTAACACAGTATCTGGCCTTTAGAATCGACCTTGATGAGAGAAGAGGCAATAATCTCAAGATAGAGTAATCCGAAAGAATTCACCATATAATGTTCATGATTGCGACTAACTCACATAGTCCCGTGATTGTATATACTCGAATTCCACCCAAAGAGATCTATCAAGCGATAAACCGAGGCCATTTTGCAACGAAGAGAACGCTCACGACGGGAATACACAGTCGCCACCGCGCAAGTAATTTGTCGGAATAACACCGTTTCGATGCCCTCTTGAAAATCTGACTGCATTATGTCATTAGCTGCATTGCTTTCCAGCATTTTAAATAGTAGAATACAACCAAGTGTTATTGATGCTCAATTCGTTAACAACTCATACAGGACCTCGCCAAATCAAAGAAACTGATAACGCTTCTGTTAAACACTGAAGAGATTTATGACAGTTTTGATAACCTACACCGAATCCTGAGGTAACATAATAATAATGATAATAACTTCGTTACAAGAGGCATGCCAGTTTATGGGCTAGATCAGATTGACACAAATGCTTTTACATTTACACCATGTCACTAACAGTAACAGAATAATAAAGCCACATTCTCAATAGGATAGTGCAAATAAGGCAGGTGCACAGTAGGTTCCTTTGGCAATTTGCTATGTAACCGCGCGCTTCGAATTTGACGTGTCCTTGCTGACTCTCTTCCGTTTCCGGTGAACAATCCATTTTCTGGATACTTTATCACCCACGCAGCCATGAAAAAGTTGTCTCCATTCATTGGTCTAGCTGCCATTACTTGGACTCTTTTTTTTATCTTTCTCCTCTTTCAAGCTCCCTGTCCTTCCTATCTCCAAACTACCTATTATCTGACACATCTTACAAATTATATCTTTAGTTTACTTGAATTCGCTAAAGGATACCTGTCTGAAATCGTGTGACATGGCAAACGTCAACTGTCACGTCACTCGCCTCAGAAAAAAATCGGACAAGTCAACTTGCCCTCTCCTTTTCAAATTCGGCTGCTGCAACGACGCCAAAAAATTTATCCGTTTGAGCAAAAATATTAGCTCATCAACCTTATACAAAGAAGTAAAGGTTACCCCGGATCTAACGCCATGTCAACGTCGTGTAAAAACAAGAGAGGCGACTAGATCACATAACGGTGAGGCAGCAAATAATCTACAGAAAACAACCCTCAATGTCATGAAAGTAAATAAACAAATAAACCATGATGTAGATCTCGATAAGCCTGTGGACTGTAAACCTTCGAACAAAGCACGGATCCCCTCTGTCACCAAGAAATCGAATGACACTTGCAGTCCAAATCCCAGCAGTTCGAACGTTAACTCGAGTGAATATGCCCCAAAAAACAACACAGTTCCAGCTAAAACTAATAAAATTAAGAATCCATCCCCAAAATATATTGCACGAGAGAACATGATAGAAGCTGACGTGATTTTGAAAAACACGTCCAGGGGACCGAAACATTCTCCGTCTTTAACTAAGAAGAGTGAGCTGATTAAATCTTGGGTCTCAAGTAAAAAAGTAGGTAGGATTCAAACCCGATTGCCACAGACTTTCCCAACTACGATGAACAGGTTCACTCCTTTAATGTCATGTGATGTGCCCCTAGCCTCTCCAAGTTGTAAGACTGATAATATCAAGAGCATGTCAGACCAACATCTGAACATGCGCACTAATAATTATTATCCAAGAGCTAGGTGCACTGCCCAACCACCTAATCCTAGAATTATTAGTGAAAGTGGAAATGGAAGATTTTTCACCCCTCACCCTATCCTAAATACCCGGGCTTTTATTCGCAAAAACGCTGAGAATGAAAACTCTATGCATCCTGCTCTACCAAACCAGCTGGTAAACATGACCCCCAAATTTAGAAAAGGCCATAGCAACTGGCACTCGTATATGGCTAACCCTCCCCAAGTTAAAACCATTCCGTATAAATTTAACCTTAGTAACGAGCTGTGTCATCAAGACATTACTAGAAACGGTGGTGAACTGCAATGCCAGCCGAATCAAAATTTTTTCGGGATACAGCCACTTGTGGTACCTCTTGCGCGACATATAGCTCAAGTCATTTCATACCACATACAGAATATGACAGCACGCTCCTCGCACAATCTCAAACAGACAACATTCTCCCCCTTTCCCCCGGGCTAACAACCCCTCCTGTAAATTCCAGTAATTTACTTAGCATGTCCCCCCCAAACTCCTCATACCACACTCACGTAGATCATAGTAACTCCTTTACCCAAGATACCCTAAACTATTTTAGCTTAGCGGGACATCTGTTTAATATATGTCTTATTAATGCTCGTTCAATCTGTAATAAAAAGACAGATCTAGTCATGTTTGCTACTATCTGTCAACCATCACTTATTATGATAACTGAGACATGGACCTGTAGTAATATTTCTGATCTTACTATATCTCTTGAAAACTATGATCTGTTTCGAAGTGATAGGTTAGAAGGAAGAGGTGGAGGATGCCTCATATATGCCCACTCTAGCCTAAACTCGCTCTTATGTGATATATCTGAACTAAATAGATTGCCAGACTCTGTGTGGATCGTTCTGAAACCGTCAAATGCCGTTTCCTTACTGTTCGGCTGTGTCTACCGACAGCCTAATGCACCAACAAGAGATCTAGCCTTATTGTCAGAAGTAAATAAACAAATAAACCATGATGTAGATCTCGATAAGCCTGTGGACTGTAAACCTTCGAACAAAGCACGGATCCCCTCTGTCACCAAGAAATCGAATGACACTTGCAGTCCAAATCCCAGCAGTTCGAACGTTAACTCGAGTGAATATGCCCCAAAAAACAACACAGTTCCAGCTAAAACTAATAAAATTAAGAATCCATCCCCAAAATATATTGCACGAGAGAACATGATAGAAGCTGACGTGATTTTGAAAAACACGTCCAGGGGACCGAAACATTCTCCGTCTTTAACTAAGAAGAGTGAGCTGATTAAATCTTGGGTCTCAAGTAAAAAAGTAGGTAGGATTCAAACCCGATTGCCACAGACTTTCCCAACTACGATGAACAGGTTCACTCCTTTAATGTCATGTGATGTGCCCCTAGCCTCTCTAAGTTGTAAGACTGATAATATCAAGAGCATGTCAGACCAACATCTGAACATGCGCACTAATAATTATTATCCAAGAGCTAGGTGCACTGCCCAACCACCTAATCCTAGAATTATTAGTGAAAGTGGAAATGGAAGATTTTTCACCCCTCACCCTATCCTAAATACCCGGGCTTTTATTCGCAAAAACGCTGAGAATGAAAACTCTATGCATCCTGCTCTACCAAACCAGCTGGTAAACATGACCCCCAAATTTAGAAAAGGCCATAGCAACTGGCACTCGTATATGGCTAACCCTCCCCACGTTAAAACCATTCCGTATAAATTTAACCTTAGTAACGAGCTGTGTCATCAAGACATTACTAGAAACGGTGGTGAACTGCAATGCCAGCCGAATCAAAATTTTTTCGGGATACAGCCACTTGTGGTACCTCTTGCGCAACATATAGCTCAAGTCATTTCATACCACATACAGAATATGACAGCACGCTCCTCGCACAATCTCAAACAGACAACATTCTCCCCCTTTCCCCCGGGCTAACAACCCCTCCTGTAAATTCCAGTAATTTACTTAGCATGTCCCCCCCAAACTCCTCATACCACACTCACGTAGATCATAGTAACTCCTTTACCCAAGATACCCTAAACTATTTTAGCTTAGCGGGACATCTGTTTAATATATGTCTTATTAATGCTCGTTCAATCTGTAATAAAAAGACAGATCTAGTCATGTTTGCTACTATCTGTCAACCATCACTTATTATGATAACTGAGACATGGACCTGTAGTAATATTTCTGATCTTACTATATCTCTTGAAAACTATGATCTGTTTCGAAGTGATAGGTTAGAAGGAAGAGGTGGAGGATGCCTCATATATGCCCACTCTAGCCTAAACTCGCTCTTATGTGATATATCTGAACTAAATAGATTGCCAGACTCTGTGTGGATCGTTCTGAAACCGTCAAATGGCGTTTCTTTACTGTTCGGCTGTGTCTACCGACAGCCTAATGCACCAACAAGAGATCTAGCCTTATTGTCAGAAGTAAATAAACAAATAAACCATGATGTAGATCTCGATAAGCCTGTGGACTGTAAACCTTCGAACAAAGCACGGATCCCCTCTGTCACCAAGAAATCGAATGACACTTGCAGTCCAAATCCCAGCAGTTCGAACGTTAACTCGAGTGAATATGCCCCAAAAAACAACACAGTTCCAGCTAAAACTAATAAAATTAAGAATCCATCCCCAAAATATATTGCACGAGAGAACATGATAGAAGCTGACGTGATTTTGAAAAACACGTCCAGGGGACCGAAACATTCTCCGTCTTTAACTAAGAAGAGTGAGCTGATTAAATCTTGGGTCTCAAGTAAAAAAGTAGGTAGGATTCAAACCCGATTGCCACAGACTTTCCCAACTACGATGAACAGGTTCACTCCTTTAATGTCATGTGATGTGCCCCTAGCCTCTCCAAGTTGTAAGACTGATAATATCAAGAGCATGTCAGACCAACATCTGAACATGCGCACTAATAATTATTATCCAAGAGCTAGGTGCACTGCCCAACCACCTAATCCTAGAATTATTAGTGAAAGTGGAAATGGAAGATTTTTCACCCCTCACCCTATCCTAAATACCCGGGCTTTTATTCGCAAAAACGCTGAGAATGAAAACTCTATGCATCCTGCTCTACCAAACCAGCTGGTAAACATGACCCCCAAATTTAGAAAAGGCCATAGCAACTGGCACTCGTATATGGCTAACCCTCCCCACGTTAAAACCATTCCGTATAAATTTAACCTTAGTAACGAGCTGTGTCATCAAGACATTACTAGAAACGGTGGTGAACTGCAATGCCAGCCGAATCAAAATTTTTTCGGGATACAGCCACTTGTGGTACCTCTTGCGCAACATATAGCTCAAGTCATTTCATACCACATACAGAATATGACAGCACGCTCCTCGCACAATCTCAAACAGACAACATTCTCCCCCTTTCCCCCGGGCTAACAACCCCTCCTGTAAATTCCAGTAATTTACTTAGCATGTCCCCCCCAAACTCCTCATACCACACTCACGTAGATCATAGTAACTCCTTTACCCAAGATACCCTAAACTATTTTAGCTTAGCGGGACATCTGTTTAATATATGTCTTATTAATGCTCGTTCAATCTGTAATAAAAAGACAGATCTAGTCATGTTTGCTACTATCTGTCAACCATCACTTATTATGATAACTGAGACATGGACCTGTAGTAATATTTCTGATCTTACTATATCTCTTGAAAACTATGATCTGTTTCGAAGTGATAGGTTACAAGGAAGAGGTGGAGGATGCCTCATATATGCCCACTCTAGCCTAAACTCGCTCTTATGTGATATATCTGAACTAAATAGATTGCCAGACTCTGTGTGGATCGTTCTGAAACCGTCAAATGCCGTTTCCTTACTGTTCGGCTGTGTCTACCGACAGCCTAATGCACCAACAAGAGATCTAGCCTTATTGTCAGA